TGTTCAACATTACCCAACAACAAGCAATCATCTTTTAGCCTTTAGATGCCTCAAGGTACCATTTTTAAGTTCAAAGACTCAAGACCAAAGGTGACAAGGCTTACCAAAGCTCAACCAGCCAACAAGAGGTGCTCTTGGAGCTCAAAAGGTCACTCCAAGGTTATGTCTCTCTCTGCACACGAAAATGGTATACCAAGGTGGTCCTTTTACTCAACAAGAAAGCTCCTTTAAGCCTCAAAACCCAATGAGCAAGGAGGCACTCCACCCAAACCCCAACTCAGAACACAAACAGTGGCCAAACCTCAAGCACAGCACCCTCACACCCTCTCAAGATGTTTCCCAAGTGAAAGGATGAAGAAAATCAAGAAAGATCAAGACTTGGTTCAAGAATGGAAGGAAAGGCCAATAGAGCAGTCACCAAGAAGCTGGTCAGCTCCCTCTCACGTTGGTTTTATGTTTTCCAGGGCTATGTGCCCTTAAAAATGGGTATTTATAGCCCAAACCACTTAAACACACAGTATTAAATTTAATTGCTACGCTTAGCATTTTAATCCCAAACTTTGGATTATGAAACTACATAATTTTCTAAGATTTATCATATTTTTCTTATAATTTTCTGAGCACATTTGCGGTACGCGCTTTTCCAAGCCAGTACCGGTTTCTAGCACCAATTCTCATTATCTGAACTTGAAACTCGTTTTACAAGTCCTAAATATTATTCTAGTAATTAACATGCACTTACTTTAATTTTCCGGAACACTTTTTCGGTACTCATCTATACTGACTAGCAGAACCGATATCTGCACTTTTCTTCCGAAAAGCAACTTTCAGCATTATTACTCACTTACTATAATTATTAAAGCCTCATAATAATTATTAGGGTCAATTATGGAATCATTTCCTAATTTTGCATAATTTATTAATTAAATCCCTTAATTAACGATGCGGGTTCTTACACAAGCGGTGTTCCTTGTACTACATGTAGGGAATAGACATATTCCTACATTTCTCTGGCCAGTAGATAGTGATTACACACATGCCATAGATATCTGTTGCACTACATAATTTTGGAACTGATAATGATATAAATGCTTTTAGAACTTATATTGCACATGTAAGTGAGCTTGGGGTGGAAGATCCTTGAGGACCCCTTGTCTTACTAAGATTTCTTGTTTAGAGATCTCACTCCATGTTTAGGGAATCCTTATTTCAGGATCAGGTAATGTTGAGACCTCAGGCGGCAGGAGGTCGGAGCTGAGTTAGATTTGCTATTATTTATGCTGACATGTTGGATGCTGGATTTGTATGCTGTTTATTGCTTATAGCTTCAGAGCATGCTTATGGCGATTTATGTCTATCTTGTTGAGACTATGTTTATTTGGTGAGCATGGGGATTGTCCATGACACATAGTACTGTTATGTCTTGTTTATGTCTTGAGTCTTTGGAGTTGTAATAATGTATCAGGATATTGTCCGGATTACGAGAGGTAATGCCGTGATTTAGATACACACTTTATTTATATATTGAGGTATTTCAGTAGATGTCTTATTGCAATTTACATACAAGCGATATTTTATGAAATTGATTAAGTAATCAAGATGGTAATTGATAATGACATCATAATTGAAAAGAAAAAGAATATTCCGCATTTTTATTTAAGCACCGCTTAATACAATGTAATGATAACACTACCGGATATATACGGGGTGTTACAGGTTAACACGTGCTTTTATGTTTTTCATCTTTGTCTTAATTTTCCTGACTGTGTCAGGCTAAGTTTTTTTATAGTTAGGTTAGATGAAACTAATGAATTCTTGATGTTATTTACTTTTTCCTTTCATTGTGATCTAGCCAATCCTAGATGAACACAAGAGTTTTGCATGATAATTGGGGTGTTGGTGTGAAACTACAATTAGATTAATTGCTAGGTTTTGTTTGATCTAGGGATAGACTAACGAAACCTATAACTGCTTCGATTTTTTGTTCTTAATACTTGCCCTAGGTGGGATCACTAAGGGAATAGAGTTCTTAATAGGGTAAAGAATTGAAATACCAAAGGATTGAGTTTTAATTAATATTGAAGAATTGTCAATAACAGGAGTTTGAATATTGATTGAGGGAAAATGCAGATTCATTAGGATGAAATTGGGGAAATCGATTCCCTAGATACGCTTTTTGCATTATTAATTTTTATTTCTAGTTCTTGTTCTTGTTCTTAATAGTCTTAGTTTCTATTTTTAACTTCCAATTTTATTCATAAAAACTCTAAGGTTGATCTAACTTTGATCGCGTAGTGAAAGTAATGCTTGATAGATCAATCTTCGTGGGAACAATACTCTACTCACATTTTATTACTTGTATGACCAATATACTTGCCGGATCCGCAACATTGCTCTTATAGATTAATTTAAGGTTCATGTATGACAATAAAGATGTTGGTATGTGAATTTTGACTCATTCATCGTTAATTTGTATGATTCGAGAAATAGACATATAAATTGTGCTATCTTAATGCTTAAATCCTTTTAAGAAATACAAGGGAGTTATGATTCTTAATTTTGAGGAAGTAAAAGGTTAGAATACCAAGGGATTGAATTTCAACTAAATTGGATAAATTGATTGACAATATAAAAAAGGCGATTAATTAGGGTTTAACTCAGGGCACAAGTTAAGATTGTGGTAAATCGAATCCCCAATTGTGTTTTTCTTGATTGCATAAACCTTTGCTTTGTGTTCTTGTTATTGTTTCTAATCTTATCGTTCTTTAGTTTTTATTCAATTATCTCATTCAATCTATCCATCTTACTTAAATAATTAGTGCTTAAATCCTAATCCTCGGACCTTGTGTTATATCTCCTGATCTCGATTTTTCATATATAAACGTAGGGAAATGGATATATCATGTGGTAGGAAATTGGTTGTGTCATGCTATAGACACAACCAATGTGGACCCAACCACTTTCTTTTCTTTTCTTTTTATTTTAAAAGTGGTGGGGTCCATATTGGTTGTGTCTATAATATGACACAACCAATTTCCTACAACAAGATACATCTATTTCCCATAAACGTAATTAGTATATTTTCTTTCGAAAGGATTTCTCCATAATATCTATGAATAGCTGTGCCTGGAGTCGCCAAATAGGGATTTGCTGATCTTATTACTAAAAAGCCAATGTAAACACTTATAATTTGGCCGGGTTGTCGAGACAGAAATATTCGGAAACTTTTACAAGTCCCCATGATACCAGTGCTAATTAAATAGCTAACAGAAGCACAATCTGCTTAAGAAACATGGAGGCATATATAACATTGCCGGCTTCTTTAATCATGGCCCACCCGATAGTTGGCAAATGGCAATGCATTAACTACGACCTGCTTTGTCATAAACAGCCAAATTCTTTTCATCTTCATAAACATCCAAATTCTGGAGTGAGTTGTTCACAGCAAGGAAAAAACAAACAGTAATTTCAAACACATTGAAAGAGATTAATTAGCAGAAGCCAGGGTAATGATGTACGGCTAGAAAATCATATACAGCTAAAAAATAGGGTAGGTGTTATTACTATAATACGGAGATAATGTGACAAATAACTTAATTTCGCTGGTCTCCATCAGTTTGATGCTAGTATTTTTAATCTAAATGATTTGTGAGATATAATAATGAAAATTACTGTAGGAGCATACCAATTCCAAGAAATAGTAAAGCTTTCCTTTTGTATTCTTTCACTTTCACTAGATGTAATACTTGCTTCGAAACTTGTTCCTTATATAAGTTACGCGCTCAGCATAAAGCTTAAGGGTTTCTTTTTAACTTTTTATTTATTTGATACTGCAGGCGAAGCTGGCCTGCAAATAATGTCTAGTAAAGCTCAGCTTTTTATTAAGCACTTACCCAAAGGATTACATTCTAGCTATCTTGTGACACGCAGTTTGTTACAGATGTAATAAAGTCTTTCATAAATTTTTAATTATACAAAATCGTAAATAGTCGAAAATTTGAATCATTATTTCAAGTCTCTTTATGTATAATGATATGTTAGAGATTTAATAAATGATCTATTCATAGAATTTTATTTAAAAGTTTAAACTTTTAAAAACAATGTTTAAAAGTTCTTATCTTATCATTCCACCTTACCAGTCATAAAATATTAAAATTTGGACTAGTGAATATAGATATGTTGACACGTGAATTTTATTTTATTTTTATTAGTATAGATAACTTTCATTGATAGAATGAATTTACATGTTAGTTGAAAATGAAAGCTTTAAAACAATTTGAAGTTATAACAACATTATTTCTATGGGAAATATAAGAATCATGTTGCAGGAATGACACTGTTCATTACTGCAACAAGGATCCGCTTCCGTATCTTAAGAATACGGCGTCATATCCTGATTTGGTTTGACTTTTTTTTTTAAGCGTGGGACCCACACTTGGTTTGTGTGTGCAGGAAAGTGCTCTAGTCATGTCACATGACAAAAAGCGAACCCTATTTCTATACCTCAATTACTTTTCCTTTTTACTTTATAGTTATCTTTTTTTGGAAAAAGAATCTTTTATGTTGCTCTTCTTTTTTGCTCATACAAAAGGGCATATAGAGTACGGGGGTTAAAAATAAGGATTAAAAATGCTGTTACTAAAACAGTTAAATATCCAATATCTTATTTGGTTTAACGTTTCGTTAATTCAACGAGCTAACGAGGTGTTAAAGGTGCCCTAGGATTTTGACATACTTATGGTTGAACATGTGTTTTTGCAACAAGTCCCACGGATGTTACTTCTTCAATAGAAAAACACTTTAGGTTCTTATTTTATACAAATGTCACCAATGATATGATCATGATAAAATATTACTCTTTACAGAATCAAAACAAACGGTATACGATAAAGGCATAATGCAACTTAATTTAACCACAATCAAATAAATTCAAGATTTAAAACAGCATTGAACTATAACACACATCATTATGGAAACCTATATCACTTTGACACTGTAGTTTAGTTGACTTTTCTGCAATTTACTCTGATCTCTCCCTCATTCCCAGTAAGAGGCTTCATGTTACCCATCTTGATCATGGAAGATTTAAAATCTCTAGTAAAAGCAGATGGGTTCTTGCTATAGAGCTGAACCAATGTGTCACTTTCACTACCATCACCCTTGAATAGCTCTTGATCCGAATGGAGGAGACCCTTCTTATTCAGCAAAGCCGTATAGTATGAAGTGTCAACTATTGTAGGAGTGGCATGATCCAATGCAACCAAATTGTTATGTCCACCACTTTTAGGACACGTACCCTGTAAAGCAGATGCAAACTTGGGGTCTATGTTGGTGTCATTATAGATCCTGTTTAGAAAGGTAGAGCAGTGTGCAAATCCAATGGTGTGGGCAGCAGAAAGAGCTACGAGATCTTTAAGGTCAAGCCCATGAGATTTGAAATTAGAAAGAAGCTGGGAGAAGCTGAAAAGCGGTGCAAGAAGATTGGAGTTTGCAGCATTCTTGCTAGCGGTTGTTGCATCTCTTCTGCCTAATAACACTTTGTACGAATAGAGTGGACCTCCCAACTTTAAAACATAAAATCACGGTTGGTTAATCTTCTGAATTTTGCATGCAACTAAACAGAAGTGAGATAATGAAAGATTTGTATGATACTCACTGTGGACACAGAATCACGTGCGGCTATAGCTAAGATATCAGCACATGATACCACAGGGCTTTTGCAAGCTTTGTCAACCGCTGCTTTAATTTCATCAACCACTTCCAGACCTCTAATTGAACCTTTATTTGGGAGTGCTGTCTTCTCGCCAATGAAGTTTGGGGTGTCATCAAGTAAAACTGATCCATCGCAACCCTATAGTTTGCAGCCATAAACACTAATTTCAGAGCATAATAACATATAATAGCAGTGACATGGTTGCATGCTATTACTTGCTTACATCGAGTACGAATGAAAATTACCTCTAATGAAATCAACTTGACATAATGAAATTGGATACTTTAATATATATATGAGCTTCAATTATTTTACACTTTCAATTTTGGTCGTTGATCCTGTTTATATTTAACGATTTTGATTTATTAAATATGTGAGTCATTAGATTTAAGCAGATCAATAGTTAAAATTGAGTGTAAGACTTCTAGACTTCTTTTTCTTACATCAGTATAATAATAATCTGTCATATATATATATATATATATATATATATATATATATATATATATATATATATATATATGGGTAAAAGATTTCTCCTGTCAATGAAAATAAATTATCTCCGGTAAGCGTTGTTTAAATCAAGGTATTTTTGTAATTCTAATATATTGGAGGGTTATATTAGTCTTTATCATTATAATTTTTTAATATTATAACCCCAAAATAACGTAATTTTGAGCTCACTGGAGATAACTTTATCTCGAGTTACTAGAGAAACACTTTTCCATATATATATATATATATATATATATATTGGACGTATGAGAGAGTAAAATAAACTAGGCAACATGTAATTGATGACACTAGACCATATCTCATGGATGTGTTACTTACATTGACAAAGCAATCATGGAAATGCAAACGCAGTAAAGATGCTCCCATGCGTCGTTCACGGGAAATTGCTTGCTGAACAATTGACTTAATGATTGGCAATGCCTGAGGGCAAACTTCGTTGTAAAAATTAGGAGTGAGTTGTGCATGGGAAGGTATCGTGAGAAATGTGGTCATGGCAAGCACAAGTAAACATTGGAGATGAAAAGCCATTTCGTTTTTATAAGGCTCGAACTATATTAGTTAGGGTATTGATGTGTGAGTTACATATAATGATAGGGGAGGATTTATATAGGGCGAAAGTAGCAAGTAACTCCAATTAACTTGCTTGAGTCCTCAACATAATATTTTAATTTTTATATCATTGTGTTCCAACTGGATTTTGCTCAATACTGTTGACCCAAACAACGCCCGAGAAATGTTCAAATATTGCCTCACACTACTCTAGCTACACATTGCATGCAATCAGTGATCATTCCATAAATGCATGACAGCGAAAGAGATAAAATCACATATTAAGCCAAGAGTAACAATGTTGTGAAATAAAGACGAGAAGAAATTTGTAAGAAGCTTCAACTCGGGACTTGAGAAATCTTTTGTGGTATATAAATGGGCTTATCTATTCTAATGTAATATGAGGGGAAATCTGAAGTTATAGACACATGGTGGTGGGATCCACCATCCCAAAAAATTAAAAGAAAAAAATACACATTTATCGATGAGTGTGTAGGAGAAAAAATTAATCGTATGTAACTTGAGAATAATTTTTCCCTATATAAATAATGGAAAATATATTGTTTATGTTGCATGAGATAAAATTGTCTCATGAAACATGAGAAACATATTTCCCATAAAGAGTTTTATGTTTCTCATGTTGTATGAGATAATTTTATCTCTTACACAAACATAGAAGCGTGTTGGGTCCATGTGAGGCCATATGAAAAAAAGAGAGAGAAAAAATAGGTCTCATACACTTTTATTTGTATCTGGAAGATAAAATTATCTCTTATAACATGAGAGACATTAAACTCATGTATATATATCGGGTTCTTTTTTCTCATGTTGCTGCAAAAAAAATGTTCTTATGTCACCCATTATAACTATATAGTCCGGGAAGTACATAGTTATAATATGTTATAATATTAAAAAAAAAAATTCTCTCTCTTCACGTCATCCGACAACTTCTGAAGAGAGAGAAAAAAAAGCTTTAATGTTATAAGTATGTCCCCAAAGTACATAATTATAATAAGTGACATCAGAAATAAAATTTTTAGCAACATGAGAAGTTGAAACATTTCTCAAGCTGCTTGAGAAAAGTTTATCTCCAGCCACCCCAAAACTACGTCGTTTTATTTATTTATTTTCGTATATCAATTGATTCACCTTTAAATGGTTATGATTCCCTTTTTCTCTCTCTTCCATTATCACCATTGATCCATCTTTGTACGGTTATGATTTAGTAGCCGGAGATAACATTGTCTCAAGCAGCTTGAGAAATGATAAGCCCATATATATATATATATATATATATGGGAAAAATATTTATCCTTTCAAAAGACACAACTTATATCCTTTCACTCTCACAAAGAGGTGAGACCCACACTGTAACACCTCGTGTATACCCGGTTTGTTAACATGCCATCGTATTAAGCCACACTTAATTAAAAATGCGGAATATTCTTTTTCTTTTCAATTATGATGTCATTATTATTACCAAGTTGAATTACTTAATTCATTTCCAAAACATTGCCTGTATGTAAATGCAAAAGATAGATATCTATACTGAGTAACCTCATATCATAAATAAGTGAGTATCTAAAATCACGAAACTACAACATGTATCCCGGACATAATCCTGATACATTATTACAACTGGAATCTAAAACAGGACATAGTCAATCAATGTGGCATGGACAATCGCCATGCTCACCAAATAAGGCAACAAGCCCAACATAGTCTCAACAACAGCAACATTATAGTAAAACTAGCAGCAAAATAGCAACAGGCATATCCAGCATCCAAACATATCATCATATAAACAGCAATATCAGCTAAGCTTTGGCCTCCTGCCGCTAGAGGTCTCAGCCCCCGCATTACCTGAACCTGAAAATTGTGCCCCAAACGTGCGGTGAGATCTCTAAACAGGAATCTCAGTAAGACAAGGGGTCCTCAAGGATCTTCCACCCCAAGCTCACTTACATGTGCAATATAAGTTCTAAAAGCAGTAATTCAATATCAGTTCCAAAACCAGTGCAATGCAGCAGATAATCATGTCATGTGTGGTATAACTAATCTACTGGACAGAGAAATGCAGGAATACGTCTAATACCCACACTAATGCAAGACGCCACTTGCACCCGCCCACAGTGTCACCGTCTTGTATGACGCCACATACTCAGGCTTACCGTCTAAGTGAAACAACACATACATATTATAAGCAATTGCACACAAAGCTCAACAACATTTTCAATTATCAAAGCATGTAAACACATCATGCATATAAACCATTCCCCCATGGGGTATGGTGGAACCACACAATGGCTAAACCGAGAACACGAAAGCTTACCTTGCAAGCTAACTATCCAAGCCAAGAGTCCACACAAGCTCAAAGTCCACAAATAGCCAGATCACAATCTGTTTTAGGCTAACAATCATATCAATATTCATACTCTACAAGCATACAATAAAAAGACAATGCCTTTCCTTTACGTTTCATGTCTTTAGGCTTCTCACAAAGCCTCAAGCCCTTAATCACTTTGATTCTGACTTAGATTAATCATACAGAAGTCCACATTAACTAATCATGGGTCTACAAACCCAGAAATAGCATTATGTATGAACAGTACAAGCACTGTCTCGAAATTCCCAGAATTTCTGGATATTTGTCGGGGACATATCCGGATATCCCATATCCGGATATCCCATATCCGGATATCATAGGATCCCATATCTGGATATCAATATCCGGATATCATATCCGGATATTTCGCGATAGAATGCAGTTTCTGCATTTCGCGAGATATCACTCCAAAGGTTGGGTTTTTAACCCATTATTACGTCCAAGCATGCATTTTTAATCATTTTTAGGCTCATGTTCTGGTTGGTTACTTGTTTAACTCATTAACATGCCAAGACACAATCTTTAAACAAGGAAAACTCATGATTAAGTTCAACACTTACCCCAAGCACCAAAACAGAGGTGGATGATGCTCTTGGAGCTCTCACTTCAGCTCCAAAGTTCAGACAACAAGGATGCACGAAAATGGCACACAAAGAGGTCCCTTTCTCTTCAAAGGTCACACCTTGAAGCATAAAATGCCATGACAATGGCTCCTTCTTCCCCAACAAAGAAGTCATCCCACAACTCACCTCACACAGTCACCACAACTCAGAAATGGAGCTCACCACACACTCACAATGATAGTTCCCACTCAACCAAGGTTTTTAGGTGAAGAAACAACCAAGAAAAATGATCTCTTGGAGGTTTCTATGGAGGAGAAGAGGGTGGCAAGGTGACACTCAGAATTTTGAAGCACAAGTCACGTAGGAGGTACAATATGGCCTAGGGTTTTGGGCCAAATAGGTATATATAGCCCACTTAAGTCTTAATTGCACTGTATTAGCGTTAAATACTACGCTTAGCAATTTAATCCCAAACTTAGGATTCTGAACCTACTTATTTTTCTAAGATTTATCATATGCTTATTTTATTTTTCGCAGCACCTTTCCGGTACGCGCTTTTCCATAGCCAGTATCAGTTCTGGCACCAGTTCTCATTATTATTAATATTTTTTTTGGAAAACAGTTCTCATTATTTTAACTTGCAGCTTATTATGCCAGTCTTATATTTTTCTAGTGACATATACATACTTTTCATAATTTTCCGGGATACTGCATTGGTACGCATTTATATCGAGTAACAGAACCGGTATCTGCCCTTTTCGTCAGAAAAGCGACTTTCAGCATTATTAATTACTTTCTATAATTATTTAAGCTTTCTCATAATAATTAGGTCAATTATGAAATTATTTCATAATTCTAATATTTATTTAATTAATTTCCTAAATTAACGGTGCGGGTTCTTACGCACACCTTTATTTTTTTTGTCAACTCTCTCTTCCCCTTTATTTATCTCTTTCTCTCTCTTAAAATGACACAACTTTACATCCTTTAAAATGACACACACTTTTCCCTATATATATATATATATATATATATATTGCCATTCCAACGTGAACTTCACGGATATGGTTTTATTTTTCTAATAATATGTATTCTGCCATTCCAACGTGCACTTCACGCATACGGTTTTATTTTTATAATAATTTATTCAATTTAATAATAAGGAAATATAAGTATTATGTTGTAGGAATAAGTTTTTTGTCCTTCAATCATTTTTTAATTATGTACTAAGAGTAATACATAGTTAAAATATTAAATTTGTTGACGTAGAGGAGAGAGAAAAAGTAACTTTAATAGTATAACTATATACTATCCTTAGTACATAATTAAAAACAGTTGCAGGATGTTCTACAACAGGACATCCGATAAACCCTTAATAATATTGTTAAAAGTAAAAAAGAATAATTATTATTATTCCACTTGTTCAAATTGAACTAAAAAGGAATTAAAAAAATAAAAAGGAAATGCAGTGTGATGTAACAGAAATTGAACTGTAGAGAGTTCATAAATGTGTCCCATGGAGGGTGAAGTATGTTAATATAGGGGTGTTTATAGTGACAATGGTATAGACCAATGCCCTGATGAAGCTTCCTATGTTGCAAGGCATGTGTACTGCAAAGGGGGAGAGTATGTATGGCTAGAATGACTTTGCATCGAGGCAGAGTAACAACTCTCTTTTAGAATAAAGGAGAATGTGCCTTTTCCATGGGTGAATGAAGTATTTAGAGAGGGAAAGTCCTCTCAAGTGTGGGAGAGAGAGTGCTTTTTTGATGCCTAGCTTTGTCTTATCAATGTGACAAGGCATGCTGCTATATTGTTAGTACTCAGTGGGCAGCAATGTGGGATAAAGGGTGTTATATCTTAGAGACAGAGATGTCTAGCCCAATGGGCTAGTAAATTACTTTTGGATCTAGGACTAACATTCCCATCTCGAGCTGGTTCAATTAACATGCATATGATACAAACAGAAACAGCGGAAGACTTAACTTACGAAAATACGAGCTAACTTTTTCTTTTTCTAGTTTAATTGT